TGTCTCAAGGAGTCACTGGCTTCTATCTGGTCCATTCTAATTTTCAGGAAATTTGGGGCAGCTATGTGGCGCAGTGGATAGGTCACTGGTCCTGGAGTCAGGAAGACCTGAGTTCAAATCCAGTCTCAGACACATAACACTCACTAGCTGTGTGACCCTGGGCAAGTCACTTAACCCCATTACCTCACAAAAATAAATAAAATAATTTTCAGGAAGTTTGTTGCTTGGGCCAGGTTTTGTATCTCGTGTCAAGTTGTTAATTCTGTTTCCAATTCTTTCTTTTGTAGCTCTCATTTCTTGCCCATTTTTTTTTCTCAAGTGCTTTCATTTCATTTATAAAAACACTTTTTTAAACTCTTGCTTCATATCTTCTAGGAATTTTAGTTGAACTTGTACTCAAGCCATATTTTTCTCTGAGGCATTTCTTATAGATGAAGTCATTCTCTTCTGGGTTTGTGTTTTGAGTGTCCCTGCCAGCCTAATAGCTCATTATGATGAAGTTTTCTTTTTTAATTTACCTATTTTATGACTTCAGACTTGATCTTAGGACTGGGCTCTGCCTTAAGTAAGGTCTAAGTTGGTCCTGCTGCCTTTTTTTTTTTCAGGCAATTGGGGTTAAATGACTTGCCCAGAGTCACACAGCTAGTAAGTGTCAAGTGTTTTGGTCTGAGGCTAGATTTGAACGCAGGTACTCCTGACTTCAGGGCCGGTGCTCTATCCGCTCTGCCACCTAGCTGCACTTCTTCTGCTGCTTTGAGTGTTGTATTTTTCCAGGATCTCTGGAACCGGCTGATGGACTACAAGCTTTAAGTGCTCCCAAAGTTATCTGATACAGGGCAAGTCTGATTCTTGCCCCCCCCCCACCCTTTTCCCACTCTGATCTGAACACTGCAAGATCTTGACCTAGATTTCATTCCGAACAAGAGAATGCTGATTAACTTAGCCCTTATTGGCCAGATACAAAGTTCTGCTGGTTCATAGTGATAGAATCATAGCTTCTTTGGTCCAGAATTCCAGCCATGGTTATTTCTCTTCAGGCTGGGCTAGATGCTGAAACTGAGATCCTGCTCTGCCCCTGGGGTCCAAGGCTCCCTCCCCAGAAACATCACCTATGCAGGTCTTCTTCTCAGTCCATAGTCTGGATCCATGACCCAGAATTAGGTAGTGAGCAACAAAATAACAATTTGGCACTTGGCCACATCACAGTACCCTGATGCAGGTCTGGGACCTCCTCTTCCCCTGATTATACAGCCTCTCCTTGGACACTGAAGTAATCTACTTGCTGTTAGAGTGTTCTGATCATGTCTTCTGTGTCAGCAGACCTCTCTGTCTGTCTCCCTGTACTGACCTGGGCTGGACAAAGGACTCACTCTGACATTTTTTTCTGAATTTCCCCTTCAGGATTAGGTCTGCTGCATTTTCTAGGTCTTTTTGGAGTTTTGTGGATGGGAACTTGCTGCATTTCTCATTGCTAGTCTCCTACAGAGGCATTTAAAAAAAACTGGAAGTAAACAGTAGTGAGTCAACTCTTTGAATTTTTGTGAAAGGGCCCTTGGTGCTGCTGAGGGGCCCTCTGAATCTAGGGTTTCCATGCTGTCAAAGTCTAACAAACTCATATACAAGAGAGCAGTAGGTTGCCATGTGGGGGCAGCTGGGAATGGGGGATGGAACAGGGGTGGTGTCTCATGCTAACCAACTGTCAAGGTTTATTTGTCTTTGTGAATAGGAATATATTTTGTGTCTTGAAAAATGAGGTTAATAACAACGGAATATATTTGCATACATGGGTATCTATGTGTGTATGTATGTATATATACACACATACATACATAAATATACACCATGTATATGTTTTTGTATGTAAAATTAAAAGACAACAACATTAGTTTTGTTTTCCTGAATTTTATGAATAAAAAGGCAAGGCTGGTATATTTTTTACTATTTTCACATACACTGACCTATATGCCTCTGTATTTATATGTATAAATAGGATCAGAATAATGAAGGATACTGGAGCATTTCGAGGACTGTCTCTCAGAACAATATTATAGGTTTTTTAAAGTACCAAAATGAGGTCCTCTAATAAGTTTGTAGTGCTGTGATACCCACCTTGGACCAGTCTTAAGGTCTACCTAAGTAAACTAAGATTTATGCTACAATGCTTGTTAAAGCAAGCTTTTACTGTAGCAAATAATATCATCCCAGAATAGTACATACGCTTCCTTCATTGAACACAGCCCAACCCGTTGGGGTATTTCAAATAAAATTCTACATTCAGACTCAAAAAGAAGAAAGAATAATAAACATTCTGCCTTGAAAATGGATGGGGGTTTTGTAGCTTTATTTTGAAAGCCTCATCAGGCAGCTAGATGGTGCGGTGGAGGGAGTACCAGACCTGGAATGAGAAAGACCTGAGCTCAAATTCAGCCTCAGACACTTACTGATGGAGTGGCCCTGGGCAAGTCACTTAATTTGTTCAATTGAAAAATGAGCATAGTTATAGCACCTACCTCCCAGGGTTGTTGTGAGGATAATATATCTCAAGATGAGATAATATTTATCAAGTGCTTAGCCCAATGCCTGGCACATAGTGGGTGCCTAATAAATAGATGTTTGTCTCCTTCCTGTTAATCTGTATGAATCCATTATCTGGCAGTGGTAGGTATTTTTTGGTGCCAGACCATCAAGTTTAAGAAGTATGCTAGTGAGCCACATTTCATATTTTTTTCCATTTTCTAATTCTTGGTAACCTTTCCTAGATCATCAGACTTTTTTTTTCTGAGTAGCATGGTTTTGTGGCATTTAACTAATGATAGTCCTAAAGTCCTAAAATGGCAGGATGAGTTCAGTCAAAGATGTTCATTTCTCCTGGTATCCCAAGAGGAGAGAATGAACTCAGCTCTACCAAGTGCTACTATGTATATATTGGGCCCTAATCCCCACATAAGCGCAGCTTACTTGGGTTTACTTACCCTGGAAAAAAATGGGCAATATGAACAAAGAAGTTTCCACATATATTTTGTGGTAATAGTCATTGCCATTTTAAAGATCTTGACCTACTTTTTGTTAAATGTTGGTGTCTTAAGTCATCACAGACATTTATTTTAAAACTGCAGTATATGTGTTCAAATGTGGGGCTTCATCTTTGCTATAGAAGGGTCAAGTAGAGTTTACTAAGAAAATGAGATTTTTTTTTTCGGTTAGTTCCTACCTCTCTCCAATCAGTCTTCTGTTTAAAAGATTTTCTGAGCCATTAGATTCTCCCTTTCCTTAGCAACAGAGAAGGTGGGACTGCCACAAATCTCCACATAATAGCCGGCTTACATTTTTCGTGGTAAATCCTTGATAATAGTAATAATATAAAATAAGACCTCTGGCATATTGGGTAGATCTTTGATAGAGGATTTACAGAAAGACAGGTACAAGAATGCCTGGAATAAGCTGTGTAGAAGTGTTGTGATCTGTGCTGGCAGAAGGACTTCCTGCACAGTTGAGGTATAGTTAAAAGAATGTTGGTTCTAAAGACCTGACTTCAAATCCCACCTCTGACCTGAGTGACCTTGGGCAAGTCCCTTAACTTTTGAAGAAAGTTAAGGTTTCCTAATCTGTAAAATACGGGGGTTGGGCCAGATTGTTTCTTGAGGTCCCTTCTTCCTCTAGATCTGTGATCCTATGAGATCATGGATCCACCAAAGTGGAAGGAAAAAAAAGATACTTAGCCTGAAGAGAAGATGGAGCGGGAGAGGGTTTGGGGTTGGAAATGGGAGGTATCTTCAAATAAGTGGAAGGATGTCACATGGAAGAGGGTTAAGACCTGCTCTGCTTGGCCCCAAAGGGCTGGACTAAGCAATGAGTGTAAGTTGCAACAAGTCAGATTTGGGCTGAATGTCAGGAAAAATTTCCTTGCGATTAGAGCTATCCAAAAGAAGGATGAATTTCCTCCAGAGCTAGTGGGTTCTGCATCACTGCAGGTCTTCCAAGCACAGGCTGGATAACCCTTGTGATGGATGTTATAGAAGAGACTCCTCTGGGTGTAGCTTGACCCATATGGCCTCTGAGGTTTCTTCCCAGTCTGAGATTCTGTAATACATAGCATTTTATTGAGGACACCCATAGAACAAATGTCCTGGAAAGCTGCATTTTTACTATGTAAACATAATACTCTGGAAGGCAAATATTCCCCTAACCTCATGGGAAAGAGGATTTATGTAGTTGGATGAAATGTTTTTCCTTCCTGAGTATGTGATTCTGCTTAGCTCTAATGTAGAACCTCCTGATTGGAAAAGTGGTAGTGAATAGCACAAAAGAGACAAGACCCACAGACTTTTCCTAAAAGCGTTCGAGATGGTTTTTCATACAGGTATAGTTTCCTATGGTAAGCCACATGTGAAATTACCAGATTTAAAAGGCAGAGGAGTGAAAATGCATTTTACCAAATAAATCGCTGAAATGGCTAAATATTAATGAAAATGGATTTACATATACACTTTTCTCAAGAAAGCATCTGTTACATGTCGCTGACCACACTGGCTGCTTGCCAGGGCAGGAACAAAGATGGAGAGCAATCTTTCATTATTTCGGTTTGTTCTGTCAGGTTGTATGGCTTCTGTGCTAACACTAGAACTAAATAGACCTGAGAGTATGTGTCTCCCCTTTGAAGTGAAGTCAGCTCTCTTAAATGAAAAGTGCAGGAGAGGGGAAAGCAGCACACCTGGGGAGAAAGAGAGCCATTCAGTTTTGGAGTGAGCTATAGTACTTTGGGCAAGGTATTCCGTCTTGCTGGGCCTCATCTGTGAAATGGGAATCATTAATATTTATATTTTCATTGTGAGAAAATAGCTGTATAAACGGTAAGGTATTGCAGAAAAGGAAACCATTATTGGTGGTGGTGGTGGTGGTGGTGGTGGTGGTGGTGGTGGTGATGATGATGGTAACTGTTGTTGTTGTTATCATCGTCATCATTTCCTGAAACTTTCTTTTTTTTTTTCCTTAACCCACAGCTCGAAAGACAAAGAAGAAAATTAAAGGAATTCAGCAACCCAATCCAACAGCAACAAGAGAGAATTCTGAAAGTCCTGTCAACAAAACAATGGTTCCTGCATCATTGCCACAGCTCACACCAACACTCGTGTCACTGCTGGAGGTCATTGAGCCAGAGGTGTTATATTCAGGATATGATAGTTCGATACCTGATAGCACTTGGAGGATCATGTCGACACTTAACATGTTAGGAGGACGGCAAGTGATTGCAGCAGTGAAATGGGCAAAGGCAATACCAGGTAAGAGGACAGGATGTTCTGTGGACCAATAGATAGCTTGATCTGTAAATCTATATCTGTAGATATAGATGGATCAGTTGATTGATATATAAAGATAGATATATTTTAGTCATTTCAGGTTTCAGTCATTTCCAACTCTTTATGACCCCGTTTGGGGTTTTCTTGGCAGAGATACTGGAGTGGCTTGCGATTTCCTTCTCCAGCTCATTTTACACACGAGGAAACTGAGGCAAACAGGTTTAAGTGACTTAGCTTGATCTGTAGAGAAAGATAGATAAAATAGCCTTTTCTTTTTTGAAAGAAAATATTTGTACCCAATGCTTGAGGGTTTTGTGGGGAAATCACACATTTTAACCCCTTTCTCAACCTAGATATAAAAGGCAGCTAGGTAGCACAGTGGATAGAGTACTTGACTTAGAGTCAGAAAGAGCTGAGTTCAAATCCTACCTCAGATACTTATTAGCTGTGTGACCCAGAACAACCATTTGACCTCTTCTAGCCTTAGTTTTCCCATCTGTAACATGGGGATGATAATAAACGCTCACACGGTTGTTATGAGAATTCAGTGAGTTAACATTCACAAAATGCTTTGCGAACTTTAAAGTTCTGCATAAATAATCTAAGATTAGAGGTTCCCTTTTTTGCTTTTTCCCTTCTTATATTCTTTCTAGTTGTAGAAAATGAACCAAGTCTTTATCCAGACATAGCAGGGAACAAAAGATGTCCACCCTATATTATTGGCCTCTCCCTCATACTGTTCTCTCACTCCATCAGGTTACCCCAGGCAGTGTTCAAGGGAGCAAGATTGTGTGTATCTAGAAAAATTTATTTTTATTCCATGAGAGAATACAGAGTGGTCAGTCATTGTTTATGGTCTCAGAGAGGCAACATGTCATAATGGATAGAGTACTTAACCTAGAGGTCAGAAAAACAGAGTTCAAGTCTTGTTCCTGTTACACAGTCATTCTTGCCTCTGTGACTCTGGGCAAATCATTTCATCGCTTAGAGGTCCCCAGGCAACACTGTAAGCTATAGATATGTTAGTGATCTGTGCTTGTAAAAGGAGTTTCCATCCTGGGAGTTCTCCATCCCTGTGAAATCACAGGTCCAGATGAGTTATGCCCTTATGTGTACTTTTTCTACAAGAAGAAAATTAAAAGATGATTTTTTTTAATCCTTAAATTATTTGGATGAAAGGTGATTGGAAAGGGACCACAAATGTGGTGGGATAAATATTTAGAAGTTAAAATGCATCTTTCATAAGCATGGGGTTGGAGGGGTAGAAGGCTGGGGGCAAGAGTTAGACCTGAGTGTGACAGATCAGTAATTCAAAGGTTATGCTGTTGAATATTTAATTTTTTCCTACTTCTGCTACTGTGCAACCTTAATGAAGTCCCCTAACCTCTCAATGCTCTAGGTAACTCTTTAGGAATATAAATTTCAGAGAAGGTGCCAACTTGCATTAGTAGAGGGAGTTTCCTTATCTAGGAATTTCCTCTACCAATGAAATCCTATACCTCTTCCGCTGTTGCCTGTAATTAAGTGGTGATCATAGCTGGGCATCATGAGAGGTTTTTTTCTATGGACACCAAAGCTATCATTTGGTCACTTTGATTTGGTCTTACTTTAGGTTTCAGAAACTTACACCTGGATGACCAAATGACCCTGCTGCAGTACTCCTGGATGTTCCTGATGTCTTTTGCACTAGGATGGAGATCATACAAACAATCGAGTGGCAGCCTGCTGTGTTTCGCTCCTGATCTGGTTATTAATGAGTAAGTGGTCTATGAGGAATATTTACCTGCCGTCATTTTGAACAAGCTTCATTTTTCTAGTAATAGGTAGTATTGTGATGGTCTGTGCTAGTGAGTGAAAGAGAAGTGTGCAAAACACCAGAGAGCTCGGAAGGCTTGATTCTGGTTGGTCAGCAGTGACCAAGAGGGAAGAAATGTGGGGCATTTATTCCTTCTAACTGGGTATATTCTAGAAGGTGTCTTTGGCTCGTGGAGGCTCATTGGGTCAGTGTGAGTCTAGTGAGGATAATCGAAGGACATCTTTGAGGTCAAAGCACAGTATTCAGCTTCTGTGTTCATATAAAATTGAAATAACATCCTTGATGTAGTCAGAATACAGCAAAACTCTGAAGGGAGAAGAACCTTTGATTTTGATCATATTCCGCACTACATTGTTATTAATGGCCATATGTGCTAGGAAGGTAATAGAGATGACGTTGGAAGGGATAGATAAAGTCAGATGACAGGATCTAAATGGGATTTCATGGGAGTAAATATATAGATCTGTATAAGTAAAGAATGGGGAGGGAAGGAACAAGCATTTATTTTGTACCTACTTGATCCCCATTTTACAGTTGTGGAAACTGAGATAGACAGGTTAAATGATTTGCTCAGGCCCATACAGCTAATAAGTGTCTGGTGCTGGATTTGAACTCAGGTCTTTATGACTTCAGGCTGAACACTCTATCCACTGTGCCTTCCAGCTGGGGAAGATGGGACTAAATGACAGTTGATTTGGAGGTAGGAGGAAGGAAGGCTCAAGGGTGTTAAACAACAGGAAAGTTGATAAGCTTTTACCTTGACACCATTGAAGCTCACTGCACTCCCAGAAATCATGTGCCCCATCAAGGGATCCTAGTTCCACTGTAGCCAATCTTTGGTTTTAGGCCCAGTTCTGGGTCGGTGGAAACTGGAACTAATGAGGGTGATGGAGGCAGATTTGAGCTCACTACCAGGAAGGATTTTCTCATCACTTAGATACTATTTGAAAAATGAAATGGATGCATCTGTAGTAGTTAGTGAGCAACTTTGTCACTGGAGGGGTTTGAGTAGAAACTGGATGACTGAAGTTATAGATGCTCTGCAAGGAATTTCATCTGATGATCTGGTCCTGCAGTAGATAGAGAGCACTTGGCCTGGAATCAGGAAGACATAAAATCAAATCTGGCATTAAGACACTTACTAACTGTATGACCCTGGGCAAGTCACTTAACCTGTTTGCTTCAGTTTCCTCAGTTGTAAAGTGGGGATAATAATAGCACTTACCTCCCAGGATTGTTGTGAAGATCAAATGAGATATTAAATAGTAAATAGTAATAATAGTAACAATAGTAAAAATAGATAGTAAATTGCCTAACACAATATCTGGCACATAGTACATGCTATAGAAATGCTTATTCCCTTCTCCCTCAATCCCTTACTTCTTTAACACATGGAAATTTATACTTCCTTCTGATTCTTGAAATGCAATGGAAACAAAGTCTGGAGGGTTTAAAAAAGCTGTAGAAAGTCTAGTAGGTGCATCCCTTCTAGTTGTTCTTTTTGAATTATCTCTCTTTTTTTAACATTATGGTCTTTATCTTAATAAATAGCAAAAAGTAAAAGGTTTTAGATGTTCTGTGTAATATAAGCCCTCCTATCCAAAGTGTGTGTATATACATATGGGCTGGGAAAAGGGGAAGGGACAGAGGGAAAAGAATCAGAGATTTGGGGAAAGAAAGTGTCAATCCTGGGTGGCATCATATATTTATATCTCCAATTTGACTGAAGAAGAATTTATTAAATACCTATTGTATGCAAGGAAAGCTTTGTGATTTTGGTAGCTGCATGAAGGATGAATTGGGGAGGGGAGAGATAGTTAGGAGGCTGTAATGAGGGACTGAACTGAGGTGGTGGTTGTGAGAGTGGGTGGACAAGGAAAGATATGAAATATGTTGCAAAAAAATAAAATAAAAGGTAGAATGGGAAGGGAATGAGCATTTATATAGCACCTACTACATTCCAGGCAGTGTGCTAAGCATTTTACAAATATCTTATTTGATCCTCACAACAGTCTTATGAGGTGGTACTGTTATTATCCTCATTACAGTTGAGGAAACTAAGGCAAATGGAGGTTAAATTATTTACCCAGAGTCACACAGCTGATAAGTCTCAGAAACTGGGTTTGAACTCAGGTCTTCCTGACTCCGGGTCCTGCTCTTTGTCCACTGCACCACTCAGCTGCCAAGACATGACTTATCTAATAATCAGCAATGGTGAAATAAAGGAGAAGGGTCCAAGATGACTCTTGAGATTTCAAACCTGGGTAACTTGGAAGATACTAGTTCCATCCTCAAAAAGTTCAGAAGTTTGGAGGAGGGATTAAAGAGAAGATGATGCATCAGTTTTGAATAATGATGAGTTTGAGGTGTGGTAGAACATCCAGGTAGGGATATCCATCAGGAAGGTAGAGATATGAGACTGAAGTGTAGGGAGAGACTGAGCTAGATGTATAGATTTGAGAATTATCAATATAAAGGAAGTAACTGAACCCATGGAAGAGGATGAGATTACTGAGGAAGAGAGTATAGAGAATGAACATAGTCTTGGGGAACACTCACACTGCAGAGCTAAGAAATGATGACAGTGATAATACCACCATTTGTTTAAAGTTTACAAAGCACTCTGCATGTGTCGATCTGGGTTCAGGTTCAGAACAACCTATTAAGGTACATATAACAGGTATTATTATTCCCATTTTACAGATGGACAAATAAGGGCTTAGATTAAATAACTTGCACTTGATCAAATATAAGGGAAATCAGGAGAGAGAAGAGTCACAGAAGCCATGAGAGGAGAAAGTATCTAGGAGGAGAGAATGAATGATCACCATTGTTGTGAAGGTTTCAGTGAGGTCAGAGAGAATGGGGGCTGAAAGAATACTATGAATTTATCAATGAAGAGATCACTGGCAACCTTTCAGTTGGAGTCAGAAAGCAGATTGTAGGGGCTGAGGAGTGAATGGGTGGTGAAGAAGCTAGAAAGGACAGATACTAGTTTAGCATTGGAAAGAAGACATTTTGGATGATAGCTTGAAAGAATGGCAGGACAGGAGAAGAACGGTTTTTGGGGGGTTGTGGGGGCTTGGGGGGGGCTAGGGACATATGTATAAGCAGCTAGGGAGGAGCCAGTATATTGGTAAATAATTGGGGATAAGAGAGAATGATCAGTGGTAGGGCAGACTACAGGGTTTCTTTACTTTTGTTGTGTCATGGACCTTTTTGAAAGTCGATGAAGCCTATGAACCCCTTTTCAGAATGTTTTTAACTGCATAAAATAAAATACACAGGATTACAAAGAAAACTTAGTTATCAAAATATTTTAAAAACAAATCCGTGGAGTCTACATTAAGAACCTCCTGACCTAGAAGAAAGAGGAGATAATGAGATCAAGGATGCAAATAGAAGAGTTTGCTTAGAGACAGGGCCTGCCCAGGAATTCACAGGATGGAGCACTTCAGTGCATGAAAAGCTGGGCCCTAGGACAAGATGAGCTCCCAGACCCATACTAGGACTTTGTGCGGTCTGTAGGAACGGGTATCAACTGGCAGTTTCATCGCCCACTACCTCGGCCAACTACCCAATTCAGAGGGGAGGACCTACACCTAGGAGTAGCATTTGGGGTGAAGAGCCATAGGCTGTGTACTGAGCAAGTTCAGAAATAAGTAGCGCTATGTGGCTCTGACTCCAGAAGCAGAACAGGGTTTCAGTTCCAGCCTCTAGCTTGATTTGAAGCCTGCAAAGGAACAACCAGGGCAAGAATCCCAAACCAAAGGAAATTTTGCAGTTCTTTCACCCTGAACCAGCCAGTCTTGGATCCCAGCTGACTGATACTGGCTAAATCCAGCAAAAGTCTGCTGTTGCTCAGATCCACATCCAGGACAGGAACTTACAGAGGTTGGGGTGGGGGTGTGGTAAGAATCAGATGTTACCCTGGCTCAGACTACTTTGGGAATCAACAAAAGCTTGCAGAGCTCCAGCCTGTCCCTGAGATACTAAAAAAAAAAAAAAAAATACAACACCCAAGAAAGCAGCAGCAGGACCAGCCCATAACTCCCCTCCAGAAGTACACAGAGCCCAGTCCTGGCAGCAAGTCTAAAGTCAGGAAGTAATCTGGAAGAATGAGCAATCAAAGGAAAATAATAATCCTACCATAAAAAGTTATTATGATGACAGGGATGCTCCAGGACAAACTCAGAAGAAGAGAATGGCTCCAAAACATCTACAAGCAAAGACTTAAAGAAAAACACAGCTGGGGTACAAATTCTACTAGAATTCTAGGGAGATATGAATTAAGAGTTACTGGCATTTTTTTAAGAGTTAAAAGTATCTTTTTTATAAATGAAATAAGAGTGCTTGAAGAAAAAATTAGAAAGGGAATTAACAGCTTAGTGCACAAGGTATAAAACCTTGCCCAAGCAAAAACTCCCTGAAGATTAGAATGAACCAAATGGAAGCCAATGATTCCATGAAACATCAAGAATTATTGAAAACAAAGTCAAAAGACTGAAGGAAATAAAACAGAAGAAAACATAAGGTATCTCAAAGCAAAAATAACTGACCTGGAAAACATGATTGAGAAAAAAAAGTTAAGAATTGATGAACTACCTGAAAGTTATGACCAGAAGAAAAAATGTTTTAGCATATTTCAAGAAATCACAAAAGAAAACTGCTCAGATGGCTTAGAATCATAGGACAAAGTGGATATAGAAAGAATCTACCAGTCATCTCTGGAAAGAAATCCCAAAATGAAAATTCCCAGGAACAAAACATTATAGCCAAAATCCAGAACTTTCAGGTCAAAGAAAAAAAAAAACTATAAGCAGCCAGAATAACAACTCAAGTACCAGGGAGCTTTATTCAGGATTACACAGGATTTAGCAGCCACCACGATGAAAGAATAGAGAGTTTGGAATTAATATTTAGGAAGGTAAAGGATATGGA